AAGATGAGATTATGAGGTGCATTTTTAAAAATTATTGAGTTCCATGACTGTTCAATTTTGACTTATGCATGTGGTCTCTGGATGTCTAAGCATTAAGAAAGTCCTTGCTAGTGCGAATTTTGTGAATGCGACGCAGCGGCCACATTACGATCTCTCCGAACGTCCACAATACGATGACGAGACTCTAAGTTTGCAAACCTTCATATACTTACTGATTTTATTTTTACCAAACTACTGGATTTAACTAAAATAAAAAACTATGTAGTATGTTTTTTAGATTACTCAAAAGAGTTTTTTTTTCTTAACATACAATGACACGAACATGATCTCAAAAAAGAATAAGAATTTCGCGACGGTTCTTGGTATAATATTTATTCCAGGCACGATCAGCTTTGGGACTCTGATCAAGGAGCACTTTGTTCGTTTATTTGTAAGAATAATTGATTACTACAGATCAATATTCTGTTAATTTGTGTAATCTTTTAAACTGATCACTTTTGGAAATTCCAATTCGTTTTGATTAAAATGACACTATGTTAACACTTATTGAATTCTAAAAGATCAGATTAACGCGTTTACGCATTTGAAATATAATTAAAAAGTCATAACCGAATATTTGTAACCAAAACTTTGCACGACAGCCCTAAATTAATAAGTTTTGCATAAATGTGAGTTATTGATCTCATATCGATAACAATAAATAGTATACCCCTTTGTTTGTACCCATATAAGTAAGCGCTACTTTTCATTATTTATCTTGAAAATACTTTATTTAAGTTAAATCTTGAATCAAGTTGATACTGCAGTACAATTGTTCTGTTTAAAATTCATTTATCACAAGCGTGGTTTATTAGAACTTTGAAAAATCCAATTTCGATGAAAACGAAATCAATTTGAACTTTTAAAAGGTACGCGTATTTTAAGTACGGTTTTCGTAAATTTGTCAATAAATTAAAATGTTTGGTAACAACGAGTAATTTATCGTATGATTAAGGTGGTTTTTGGGTTTTAAATAATAACACTATGTATTTCTTTCCATTGCTCCTGAAGCAGATCAAGAGAATTACATTAACTCAATAACGTTATAAATAAATATAAAGATATAAGAGATTAGTAAGAATTGTGGGATAAATAAATACCCAAGTTTTTATGACTGCTCAGAGAAAAGTTAGGTCGAAAAGACTCAAGATATGATGAAATACCTTCATTCCCAACTGTGATTTCTATAGTTTTAATTTTAATTTTTTAATGTATTTATTTATTTGTAACATGGAAAACTTAATTAATTTTTTTTAAGCGGACTATTTCACAATGCTGTATATTAAAAGAAAAATGGCATTTGAAGCGGTAGAGAAAGTTTTTAAATGTTTTTCATCAGAAGTGTTGGATTAAAACAGGCGTGCAAAGTTTGAAAACAAACAGGTTTGTAGAGATAATGGAGACCGCGAGTTTCAATTTATAGGAAACGTGTGGTTGGCAAGCTCAAGTGAAAAAGTGCAAAAGTTTTATTGCGGTTAACTCTCGAGCGTAAATAATACAGAGCTAACGAACACAACAATAATTTTATATTATATTTCACACATGATTCCAAACATACCTTGTAATCATTGATTAGTTTCTTATTGAACTCATCAATATTAGTTCAGAACAATCGTTCAAGTAAAGAACGGGTCAAATGTTTATTTATACACTAACTGTCGCCCGCAACTCCGTCCGCACGGATATAAAATAAAAACTTAGTAAGTAGTGTAGTACTTCTACGTTCCGGAGTTACCTTCACACAAACAACCACCCCCATCTCTCCATCTAAACTTTCGCATTTATAATATAAGTATGGATTTCACATTACCACCTGAAATATGTTTTAAAATTATTGGCAATGGTTACTTGTATTTGGCACAAATAATATAAAAACAAAAAAAGGTAAACAGAAAAATATGACATGACTTACTGCAGCTGCAGTTAATATTGTGCCGGAAGAAGGAACCGACTCTCGACGACCCTTTCGTCATTACGCTCAGCACCACTTTAACAAGAAAGGACTCCTCTAATTACTGCTCTGATATTCCTTCCGTACAATCGTGTTTGAACTGTGCGCTATGAAATATGTACTCATTTAAGAACGCAATCCTTGAGACAATGATGTTGACTTTCGCTCGATTATGAACGTCGAATCGAAATTATTTTCTAACGGATACAGATTGAAGACTGATTGCTTCGTGTATCAATTTTAGTATAGTGTTACATCTAATCATCCATTTACTTATTTTTAGAATATTTGTACGTTGTTCTTAGATACGGAATATGTGTTAAGATTGTTTTTTTTATAAATATATTTTTTTAAAGTATTTTTTCGTTATTATACTTTACATGTAATTCCTTACATGAGTCAGTACAGCGTTGTTTCCATCGAATGCCGCTGCAGTGTCGCATAACGAGCACCTGGCTACTCATCTACATAATGTGGACAACAACTTTTTTTCCCCTTTTGCGTAAGATATAGGTTAATGTACTATTTCAGATGTGCTTTTAATTTAACATCAAAACATGTTATGTACACACTACAATACTATTTGTAAATGTGGTTGTTATTCCATATATAGAATTTATAATATATTTAATCGTATTCATTTATTTATCATATTCTTCATATAGTATAGTCTTAGTATAGTACATTTCATATAAAAAACAAAAAATATGCAAAATATATTATATTATTATAAAAATAGAGCACCACCGGCTGCGGAATCTCATGACTCAAACAACCAGTGGTCAGGGCTGCAGAGACAGGAACCTTCTCACGATGCGTGCGGGATATCATTAATATTATTAAAAATTCTATAAAATATACAAATAATAAAATTTGTAATATAAACTTATCTGTTTTATTCAAGTCGCCAATAAAACGGATTGAATAGAAATGAAAGGATGAAAAGAAAAAATACTGTAATGGCCTTCACACCGTAATATTCAATTATTTTCGTCAACAAATTGATTTTTATGTATAGTAGAATGATTTTACTATATTACTATTTACCCCATCTGATAGTATTTAATTTTGAGTCTTGAATTTGGCAAAAATGAATATGCAGAGGAAAATATTTTGATTAAGCTTAAAATATCAAAGTTTGACACATGGCACTCCGAAGGTTGTATTTTGGATGCTTGATTCTATGAAATCTAAAAGCAGCGTTTGGCAGTGACGTTGGAATTTAATTAGTATGAAAATACCGTTTGAACAATTTGATAATATTAAATAATGAAATTTATGAATTATTTTACATTCTCTTTATATATTATGTAAGTTCACAATAATTTGAAAATTAATATTTGCTGAAACATTTCTAAATTAACGTTATAACGATAGAAATTTATATCACTTGATATACGAGCCACCTTGTCTGAACTGTCGTTTATTTCATAATAACATATCATATCATTAGATATCCTTTTAGGAATCTAACTCGCTACAAGCAGTTTTGATCTGTGCTCTAAGTATTATAAACAATTTTTTGTTAGCGTACAATTGTGTTGGTGTTAAATTAATAAATATTAAGTATTGATATTGACACGTACAATAATTCATTATTTATGGACTTTGGATTCGTTTATTCTAATTATGATGTAATACAACAAAGTAAGAACGTATAAGGAGATAATGATAAACGCCTACAAAGGGCATAACATTACAATTGCTTGTGGTACCACACCTGTGGACCGAAGTGTCTATTGATTAAAATGATTATATTTAAAACTTGTTTACCGTTGAAGCGTTGACTTTATTCAAGTAGTTGGTGTCACATGAGAGAAATAAAAAAAGTCTGATCCGCGCGCGAGTATTACATTTTGATTAGGAGCTTTGAGGAGGGCACCGTACTCGGCGGGTGACGGAAGGGATGGTGCGATCACAGCCCTCCTGATTACGCGCTCCTCTTTGTGAGGCTCGCCTCACCGAAATTCTTAGTAATTTGAGCTTTGTTATTGTTGTTGACTAAAGCATTATTTGGAAAAAAATCTTTTCGAATCTTAACTGTGATAATATGACAAATTGTAATGTTGATTCAATTTTTTTTTATTTTGAAATGAATATAGTCGCTTCTGTTCTTCTCGTACATAATTTTACATCTTGGTTTTAATTGTAACTGGACATGGAATTATGAAAAAAAAATCTATGGTCTATTAATAGAACGACTAGTATTGAAAAGGTTCTTATGGGGTAGATGTGTGTCGCCTTACAGATAAAAATGCGAATATAAAAATAAAAGTTCTCATCGAAGGGAGTGAGAAAAGAACGTAGAATAATATAAGGGATTTTATTTTTATTCGACTACAGACCCTTTGTGAATGGAGACAGAGATTTCCCGAGATAGTACTATCAAACATTTATAGAGTACCTATAAAAGGAACAAATTTTTTGAACACTTCTTCAAGGTATTCCACTTATGACCGATTTGTTTCTGAAATAAGAATTTTATTTTTATTTTCGATATTCACCATCATTTTTTTATATCTGGAATGCAACAAATAGACAGACATACAAAAAAAAATCATAAAAAAACTATAACCTATAGATCAAACACAAGATGAATACCGACAAAGAGCGACATTGGATAGAATGGGTAAATTCTTGGAATCTACGTATAGCCTTATAAGTAAATTTGGTAACAAAGATAAAGTATGGAATTGCCAGTTTAATATCAGATTAACAAGAAGTACAGATATACCTTTGGAAGGCTAATGAATAAATGAACGTTGGATAATTTAGGAGTGAGTTTGTACACAATGCGGTGCGAAGAGCGCCACATAACGGACACCTGCGGCATAATCTCCATAAAGCGGGAAGTCATCGGGCGCCACTCTTTTCCACAGTTTGCGGTATGTCCTCAATTACTGCTGTTTAAGGGGTTTTCGTTTTATCTAATAAAATTATATTATTTATTCAACAAGTTTTGGGGCGACGTAATAGAGATATGGTGCAAAATATTAAATCAAATCCAATCAACGTGTTATAATGTTTATTTCGTTTGTGCAAAATTTGAAGGACGTTAACGTGATAATATACGTATTTCATTTTATATACAAATATTATAATTTTATCATTAAATATTTTTCTATATCATTATGTAACTAACTTAATAAAATCGTGTTTTCAATAACATTTATACATATGTATATTGCTTTGTTCCTTGTTCGTTCTAACGTTCTAATTTAACGCTATCGTTGCTTATTTTAACCTGTGGAAATTCATATAGTAAGTTTATATATTTGATAAATGCTTAAACTGGAATCCGGTTAATTATATCTAGGTACAAATAAAAGCTGTTTGAAGCCATCAAGGTCGGTGATGCCATAACAAGTTATTTCAGGAACATTCCGTCGATTTCTTGGATCGGAATGTACTTCGATCATTTTTTGATCTTTTCTATCTCAAATTTCAATCAAATAGAGGCTTCAAGGCTGTTCATCATCGACATAATTCTGTATCGTTCTCAGGTATTCCGCAAACAGCATCTGGCGCAGCGAGGAACAACTTTCCCGATGCGCAGGCGCACAGTTGATACACTTTGTTAGCTCGGTTATATTTCTGAGAATTGGTAGTCGTGTTTGCTATTTTGAGATTATCTATTACTATATTTGGAGCGTCGATTCGTATCTGAAATGTGAAATTACAAGAAAAGAAGTCAAAGGTATAAACTAAATAAACAAAATCTTAAGTACTTCCAAATTATTTTGATGAAATAGTTAAAAGGAACATTGAAAATATTTTTATGTAAATTATTGTCCACTTACAGCACCAACAATAGAATCCAGACGAATGTCACTATGCGAAGTAATATCTATGCCGCCCGCTCTGCTCTCCAGGTAGATGGACTGTGGTGCTCGTAAATCAAGTCTTCTAGTTAGCGATTCCAATCTGCAAATAATATTGATGTATGAATTGACTTTGTTGCGTCAGAAATTTATTCACGCAGTACTAAGCATTTGGATCTCTATCATGATTCAATGGTAGATGGTTACTACTTTATCCTCACTCAAATAATAGAATGTAGTTGGAACATACGAGTATGAACGGGTCTCGGCGTGAGCAATTTATAAAGCACAACAAACTATTAAACGTACTCCGCCGTACTAAACAGATGGGTTGTGGAGCACGTACTATTAACATCTGTTTTATCTCAGCCAGCGCACAAGTTCGTGCAAACGAGGTGTCACTTTTGTCAGCAGTCCCGCAAACTAATATGTTTTGTATCGGAGGTTTCATTACAGTTTATTGTTAACATTTGTACGACATGAATAGAATGTTTACTATTTTCTATTTTCAATGACAGCTCTGGTAATCGAAATTGCTTCCGTTTCGCATCAGAATGATGTTTTATGCATCAATGGAAATAGCAAGCTATTGTTGTTCGATGAAGGAATAATTTAAATTATTTAGGAGGATAAAGTAATTTAAAGCAAATATATTAGGGGATTAAAATATGTAAAAATAGCATTTGTTTAGTTTCTTTTAAGTATTCAGGACATTTCAAGAAGTTATAGGGCTAATAAAGATTACTATTTAGTCATAATATTTTTTTTAAAAACATCTCCTTAACGATGTAGTAAATGTTTGTAGATAGGAAAGGGTTAGTTCAATCTTTCTATGAGAGTGACTTACTGCAATTTGGAGCTCGGCGGCGCACGAATGAGTGGTGCTTGGATTGCGCTATTCACGGTGAGGCCTGCTTCGCTATCGACTGCGAATGCCTCTGCGAATACACGCACCTCGTCGCGCGACGCATGAAATACCTTCCCACCTTTAGAGTCGAACACTTCAAATTTTCTTCCACTGTATTCTATACTATCTCTCTCTGCATATAAAAATAAAATATTTCATAATTATTCTCATTAAATGTATGATTGCTTCAATTTTAGAACACATTAGATGTTATTTCGGATTTATGCAGATATCTGCATTCACCAACATTCAGCAATTTCACGATATTATCAGCTAAACTACGGTCCATATTTTGACCCTTATTCATTCTCTGTGAATAAACAAACGTTTTATGTATTGAGTCAAAACAATTTAAACATTAAAAAAACATTCATTATCAGCACCATTTGCATTTGAGATTTTGTAAAGTAACTTCTCATATATTGAACGCGAAATCTTATATTGACGTACACAGATTTACTAACTTATGAACATCTTTGCTAATTCAACATGATTAGGATCCGAGACGAGGACGGTGAAATTCCGGAACGAGTGCAGAGTGATAGGTTGAGCGATTGGCGATGTTATTGTCGACGCTACCAACTTGTCTACTATCCATGCTTGGCCCTCTAATTGTATCCCATCTTTTATTATCTTTATAGGACCAATTCCTTTCTGAAATTAAATTTGTTTCTTATTAATTATCAAATCAGATTTATATTTATGAGTGAAATTTTGCAATAGTTAATTGGGATAACTAATGTTACTTAATCGATTACGTAAAACATTATGCGTTCATTTATTTACGTACATTGGCACTTTTTGTTTTTGAGTTTTTTACTTACCATACTTAATCTTAACGCACTAACTATCCACAATGTTAGTGCTATATTTAAAAATATAATTATCATTAATACAAGTAAAATTCCATATAATGTAGTTCTTTTCCAACCCCTAGTTATTGCTTCTGGGAGACATTTTGATTTCGGGGGGTCGTTAGTACCGACTGAAGCGGGGGGCGGGTCTCCAGTAGGAGTGAAGCCCCATCCGTGTATGCCACCAGTACTCGCTTGCGCGTCCTCTTCGCTCATCGCGTGTAACCGCTACCTTAGTAGCTTACTGAGATCCACTATGAACCTGTAACATACATAGATTTATCTACAAGTGACGTCAGAGCTTAATGGAGCATAAGTGTAAGTTAGACAAACATTAGAACGTGTTGATTTATTGATCAAGGTTCTTAGTATTGTTGAAATTTAGTATGAAAACTTTGGTTGAAGCATTTGTATTTTAAACAATATTAAGTGGTATTTCAATAGCTATTTTAACTTATTAATTTATAAATGTTATAAAATGTAGTGTCTGTGTGTGATATAGAGAAAAAAAAACATAATTCTTAAACTTTTATGTCACAGAGACAGACGTCTGCTAACCGAGAAAGATTCACCCATTTGTTCTGTTTATTACAATAATTCAAATAGTTTTATGGAAACAATTAAAAGATTAATTTAAAGTGCGTGTGATCCACATAAGTAAACCTTTCCATATTTAATTACAGTTTAATTTTGTTGATAATATTTGATAAACACTCAGAATAAAATGTTTGAATATTCTCCTCCATGCGGCAAGCTTTTACATTTTATTTTAGAAAAAAAAATATAACAAAGTATCAGAAAACCAGTTAAAATACAATGTAGTGTTCTTGCTAATGAGCAGCGTGCGAGCGAGTGCTTAGCACGTAATGAATATGATAAAAATTTAAATAAAAAACGATTATAGTTTTAATCTATACAATTAATAAAATTGCAGTATCTGATCTAATATTGAAAAAAAATCATATTTCGCAAGCATGATGTATTTGCGATGATTACAGCGAAAAACAAACTTTTCTATCTATCTGTACGCAAATCTAAAATTTGAAACTGTTTGACCGAGCTTGACGGTACTTTTATTGGAAGGTTATGTGCGCGGGAGTAACATAGACAATAATTTACTTTTTTTTATTTTGCGCTAACGAAGTCACGGGCAACCGCGACTTGGTATTGGTATTAAGCTTAAAGAAAATTAAATAAATACATTTATTATGATTTCATACAAAGGTATCATTAAAACATAGCTTGGATAAGGAATTTAAACTTTTCAAGTTTAACTTAACTGTGGATTATTAATAATTTAAGACTGATTGATGGCGCTATCTTAATGTAAAATAAAATTATTATGTATACATAGTTACATTATAATTCCTTCAGTTTTTAATATCATGTAATTATTTATTTATTTACTTTTATTTTTTAATCATTACACGCATTCAAAACTGTATTATTTGTTGCGATTGTAATAAAAACGATTTTGTGATTATCGATTTTATATAGTGTTATGTCTACAGCAGTACGATTTTATTTTTAGGAAACAAGTTATGCAGAAAGGCAAATTTTGAAAATAGTTTTCATTTTATTAATTGCTTGTGACTGGAGCAACGTATTGCACTTTGATGCTATTTCTAATCCGCGCGGTAGTCCTCTACCCAGTCCTAGATAACAGACAAATTTTTAATGCCGATTTAAAATAACTTTTGAACTGTTTTAATACAAAGGGGCATGTAATTCTTTATACTACAAGTTATTTTAGGATAAATGTATTTAGTATGGTTAACAATGATAGTACGATTTAATTATGTAAAAATATCAAAAGTCATTTGGACGGCGGTGACATGACTCCGTAAGGGACAATGTTCCTCTAGACCTGTCAACATCACAGGTCTTTTGTCTCTAGGACCCTCCACCCCAATACAATAGACAGCCCGCTTTAACCGTAGTAACTATATATTTTTAAACGCTTTCGCACTAGTTTTCATTTAAAAATGGATTTTTACAAAGACTTCAAATTGTTTGCAAAAATATTCTCTCTCCACTTTCTTCTCTACTTCAGAGTAATTAAAAACAAATAATAGTTTTAAATAGGTTAAGAAACTTTTAGATTATGTTTCTTATTAAAAACGAAAGGATTTGTATTTCAGTACTTGAATACTGAAATGTATATTAGTCACAATCTAAGAGTCGAAAGGTTATATTGATTATTAAGATGGATAAAATTAATTTGACAGTTTTAAATTTAGAAATGAGAGACCTTGCAGAGCAGAGGCATTTATCCAATAAAGTTATTTTACTAGGCAATTGACCAAACTATACATATTGTTATCATTTGTTGGTCTCACTATTTACTATACTAATGGGCTAAATATCATGGATAAAATAAAATCAAAAGTATAACACTTACAATTCATAGAATATGCGGTATAACGCAGAGAAAGTAAAAACATCAGGCTTTTAAAAGTTAAGATAAATGTTAAATATTTAAAGAAATATATTATTACTGAAAAAGTAAAAACATTATTCGAATGAACGCGAACGTGGTGCTTGTGTCACGTTTTTTAAACTACTGTCGCGTCGCGTTGTGTTTTGAAGGCTCTGTTCCACAATGCAGGCGGCTGCACCGGGCGAATTCTCAGCCTAAGACTAGATAAATTCATAGGTGCTAGAAGCAACACTCGAAATATCTAGCGTGAAGCGAGGCAAGCGAGGCAGCGAGGCAGGCGAGGCAAGGCGGGCGTGCTCCAGAATATAATATCAGGCGGTGGAGTGGCCGCGAGAGTCCCGCGGCGCCCTCGCGCCTCGCCGCTCGCCGCCTCGCCGCCGCCGCCTCGCCGCGTCTGCCCTCGTAATAAACGATATAGTGCGAAAATAGAACCCGAGCGGATATCGCTGCGCTTTCCACCTAAATAAAACATTGACGCTCCCGACATTCCTGTCATTCGGAGAAAACGTTTCTGTTTTATGGACATCGATGTCTAAATGAATAAATTATTTTACGCAATGATTGATAGAAAAATGATAGTATATTGCAGATTGATTACCAAAAATAATGAGTAAAGTTGTGAATGTAAGAAAGTAGTCTTACTAACTCAAGTACTCTTTCCTCTTCGTTCCACTGCGGTAAGACTTCAGAACTGATTCATTATTAATTAATTTTGATTTCATGAAGTCACTACCGGCGCAAGTTGTTGAGCGGCCGTCGCGCCATCGCACCGCAAGACCTGCCCGCTCGAACGTCACAACAACACTGAACGCAGCGTGCGCGAGAGACGCCTCTGCCGATTTCATCTCGTTGTGAAGAGCTGCATTTTTAATCAGGCGCCTGTCTCGCGCGGGACATAACTGGGATATGCTCTGAATACAGCTGCTCCCACTTTATTATGAATTCTAGTTAACGTTATCATTAACTGACGGTTTCATACAATTTTGTTAATAATTAATGTGGATGCGACCGTGTCAACACGCGGCGGGCGGCGGCGGGTGTACGGCGCCCGGCTCGGGCCTCTCGCTAAAGCGCTCTCTCGCTCGCTCTCGCGCGCTGCGACTCGCCCGTGACTACTTTCCCGTGTACGTTTTATTAGTTTCAGCATTTCATTGTCACGACTATAAGGGTTAAAAGATATGAGTTAAAAAGATATGGGTTAATATGTTAGTACATTTTATTCAATACTTGTAAACATACTATTGCATGAGTGATTTTTTTCTGATTCTCATGTGCCCAAGGTCGATAACTTCTTAAAATACATCCTATATGTAGTCAGTTTATTTTTAAATAATAAATTCGTATTTATATCATTTCACTCAGAAGGATTTTGCAGTGGTCAAAGGTTTTAGTTAGTATTTTACACAAACTTGTAAAGATTCTCCGATACTGTAGATTCTCTGATACTGAACCATAACTTCACTTATGAAGTTAACCAATGACGAAATAAAATAAAAATAAATAAACAAACATAGAATTGACATACAGAGAGTGCACCTCGAATTTAAACAAACAACAGTGTGGGTCACACAAATATTACAGGCGGCCAACTCTGACCTCTAGGTCATGCGCCCGATAAATTATACAGCTTTATGAAATAAAATTAACAAATCTAGATTGTTAATTATTTCTACCTAGTAATTAAGTTATTTAACTTAACGTGTCATAAAAGTGAAAAGTTGCATTATTCTACTTATCGTAATTATTATAGTATTCATTGTAACTTATTTTCTACATAAATATTAATCCATTTCCAAGTTACGTAATAGCATGAAAAACCGTAAACACAATTTATCCATTCGCAAAGTAATCCCTCAATGAAATAACTTTTAGAAAGTATATCACCTTTATAATCTTAAAATATTTTGGCATCTGTGCATAAATGAGTGACAACCATAATTTACCCTCGCCGCCATTGAACAGATGGTGCATGTAAAAAATTAAATAGCTACCTTATATTAAGCAGCTATCGACTGCCAAAAATAAATTGGTGATACAATATATGAAATTAATTTCATTTAAAAATATTTAAATAGTGAATATACTTAGTTTGTTGTTTTCTAAAATTCTGTTACTTTTTTTTCATAATCCTCCACGATTCAAAAAGTTTCTTTAAATAATAGCAAACTTTTTAGTTATTCCTACATGCCAGTATATTTTAGTACCGGTCTAGAATTTTTAATTAAAACAAAAAGAAATTGTGTTATGTAAAAAAAACATAAAATATTATTATAAGTTATGAACATTTCGTTTACATAATGTAGCACTCGTGCAATAAAATTATTATAATTTATAAAAATAAAATAAAATTGAATATAAAAGTATGCAATATTATTTTTACCAATAAAAAAACCTTTATAAACTGAAATACTTACTATATTTGAATTTAAAATGTTTTTGTTAACTTTAATTGTAAAGACCGCCTAATACTGTTAAATACAAAAGGGTTAATATAATATTATTATATTTAATATAGGTTAAGTAAACTATAAACGGGGAATTGATCGTATTATATAGCTTGGAATGATTTCTAAAAAAGCTATGACGTCATATTTGATGTCATCAAATGTTTTCATCGAAGTTACATCGAGTAGATAAATGTGATCCTTCGGGGACAATACGTCGGTTCTTTTGAGATAGTAAAAAGAAATGCTCGCTGTGATTTGGACCAAATGATAAGTATTTCTTTTATAGCTTTTTCATTGTTGTAATTTTTCAAATAAGAACTTAATCTAACTTTCGATACTTTTTTGATAAAATAGAATTTAAGTGACATAATTATTCACAATTTTACCATATTCTGATTTCCATTCCACAAAGTATTGGTAGATTAGTTGTTGTCTTAAATATATGAATTTAAAAAAAAATAGAAAAAAAGGACAAGAGCTTTATACTACTGCTTATACTTGTAAAGAAAATAAAAATAGGTAATTATATTATTAGTTTGGTGATTATGATCGTAAGTACGCAGACGTGATACGCGTTTAATAGAGACGGCGTCGGCTCTTCGTTCTGTTTTAGGAAACAATCCCCGCGATCCCGGCGTGAGGCTGCATAATGCGTCCTCGTCCGTCCCCTGCCTGCCATTTAACCTATCAATTACGACCAATCTACTATGATCCCTGCAAAGTTTTTAAAATGTTTGATGTTTCAATTCAAATCAAGAGGATTCAGAGTAAAATGCTCCTCTTACTCATAAAACAAAAAAATCGTTTACCAATTGAACATGTACTTAGTAATATTCGCTATAACTATATTTATAGACTACAAACTATTAGAGGCTCTGTAGTGGTGTGGATTAATTTTCTAAGAGATAACTATTATAACAATATTTTTCATACAATAAAAGATACTATTGAAATGATAAAAGAGACAGTAATCGAAATCTTTATTTCCAATGTACAATATTGTTATTTGCTTGTAAGCGAAGAGAGCGGCGGCGCGATGCGTCTGAAGCCAAAGTTCTCCATCATACCTGCGTCACTTGAAAATTGAAAAACTTTTGCAATGCCTTTCTTATGGAAATAGTTCGCGTTTACGTTTGAGTGAATTGTCATTGTCGGGCTTCAGCGCTGCAGACTCATTGAAATATTAGTTTCAGTGTCTTATACATAGTGCTCAGCGCTTCAACTTAGTGCGGTGTCGGAGAAAGACGGCCGGAGCGTTGGGACTTACGGAAGTATTACCGCATTTCTTTACTAACGATTTTACATTGTGTTTTAAAAATAAGAGTTGTTCATTATTCAACAAAATATTAGCAATCTTTTATTAAATTAAAGTACTAACCAGGATATATCTTCTGTAGATATAAAAATCAAATGCTGTTCGTTAGTCTCGCTAAAACTTAAGAAATGTTGAACAGAATTTGTCTTATCTTGGTATTGAAATATTAGTGGAGGTCTTGGGAAGGTTTAAAGTGTGAGAAAAATTCGAATAATTGCCGGGAAAACCCCAAAAACAGCACTTTACTTTTCCCATATAAACGGCTGAATGGATCTCGCTGAAACTTGGTATAGATGTAAAACATAGTATGGATGAACGCATAGGCTAATAATCATGATTCTTTTTGAATTACGCGCTGACGGAGTCGCGGGCGACAGCTAGTTATAGTATAGATTTTGAGTGAATTAATTCTCTGTTTTAAGTTTCTCTAATTTGCTACTTTGAGTGATAAAAGCTAGCGTTCGCTTAATTGTATTAAGAGTGGTTGAATTTTTTCGTATAGCAAAATACAAAGGGCGCTATAGGTCGTGTAAATCCGCATGAAATATTGATACAGTTTCGTGTAAACGTGTAACAAATGCGGTAATTTAAACCACCTGCCGGCGGCGTGGCGCGGCGGGCGCGACTCGCGCTCTCTGCTATGCAACGCTTTTGAATAGCCCTGCCCTGCCTATCTTGTACTGCTGTTTTAAATAAAAAAATGTTATGATGTGTTAATGTATTTACTTACTTAATTGTGACGAAAAATGTTTAAATATTCCACAAAGGCTATTTTTTGTCTCATGAATGATCGGGGTGCCTTCTTTGCTTCATAGAGGAAATATCTTATTTGTCTACAAACCCTTTCTTCCCACTAAGAGATTGACAATGTATCTAAAATTAATCTCATTGTTTTAAATGTAGTATGAATTATTTTTTTACAGCACTAACACTGCTAGCTCCTTTTCTTTCTTATTTTGAAGCATTATAACGGAGATCAAGTACAAAAATAATAGAATATATTCTGATAGAAAGAAATAGAGAATAGTCTTCTGTACAAGTTGTGTATGTCATAGTACATGCATGTGTAGTCTTTTCTATAGACATTTTTGTCTATGGTAAAGACTACACATATCTAATTTTGTGTGAATATTTATATTAAAAGGGAGTACCTAATACAAAGATAGCCAGTGCATTGTAAAGCACAAAATTTGAGTGCGCTGCAAACTTTAAATTAGTTCAGCAGTTTTAACACAAAGTAAAATTAAGCAGACTAAATTATTTTGTAATAATACAACACTATATTGTAAAATACAATCTTAATTTAAATGGAATATCATATTATGACTAAGATAAGCATACAAACGACTTAACAATACAATCCAAAGGGATACTGCAATATATACTGTACGAAATACCGTTATATAAGTAGAGACTTGATTAATTCTTACTTAAATATATGGGGAAAATGAAAATAGTAGTAGTAGAAGTAAATATTTTTATTCTATCTATCCAAACTGTAATATTTATTTTCACCTAATACGAGCGAATTTTTATTGACATAGGACTGTTGTTTCATACGTGATCCAAGTCGTTTTCACACCTGTTATTATTTTTCCTTTCTTAATTATCTTTCCGGTTATCGAATGAAATAAAATAACATCTCAAGTAGATCAATATTGTCTACTTAAGTACATGTCATACTAGCTTTCTCCCGCGACTCCGTTTGCGCGGTTTTGAAAAATAAAACTTAATTAGTAGTCTATGTGTTCGTCCAGGCTATGTTCTATATCTATGCCAAATATTAGAGAGATAAATGCAGCCGTTCTGGAGATACCTTCAAACAAACATGGATGTTTGTTTGAAGGGATGGACGGACTGGATGGATCCAGCCATCCATCCGTCCATCCAAACATTCATAATATTAGTAAAGTAACTAATAATATATGTGATATAAGATATGGTTCTGTGATGTTTATTGATGTTTTTTGAACCGTTAAATATAAAATGGTTATGAAACGGGAGATATTGAAAACGCCAATAGTTGATTCTGAATTTGGAATACTTTAATTTTGGCTTGC